CCCCCAATATTTCAAGTTTTGCCCAAATTTTTAAAAAATGCCAAAACAGGTCAATTTTAACATTACGGGGACTGAACTTTAATCGTAGTTTCAAACTTTTTTTTTTCATCCCTGTAGCGCCCAGAACCACCCCTTGAAAAACCTTAATGGAAAAGGATGTCAAGTAATGCATCATTTTGAAGCTGCTTTCATTGGCCCATATTCAGCGCCTCCGTTTAACTTTAGAGTGAATCTAAAGTCGCGTTTTTAACTTGACAGATTTACATTGTTGTTATGGAGTAACTAAGGACTCGAGACGCGACTTTAAAGTCACTCTAAAGTTAAACGGAGGCGCTGAATATGGGCCAATGAAAGCAGCTGAATACGGGCCATTGTCTTTACAACCCCGTAATTTTTTTTATTTTGAATGTTTCTTTTTGTGAAACAAAATTTACAGGATCACTGAAATTTTGGAAATTTTCAATCTAACATATTCTCGTTTAAAATTTGAACAAGTTCTTTTAAAGGTTTTAAATGGAGTGAAACATGTTCTTATCTACACCTATGGTAGTTTTCATTATTTCAAATAACAAAAAAAAAGTTTCATGTTAATAGAAGGTAAATTTTTAAGTTTATTCACAGTCCTTCTTGATTATTATAATAATCGCAATTTTTAAAATGGTTTTTATTGTACCGGGTGTCCCACCAGAAGAGGTAACCGGCTGTATATCAGAAACTAATTGATTAAAGGTAAAACCATAAAACACGAAAAATCGAAAACTTTTGCAGAACGGACATTCATTTTTTCAAAACAAAAATCACCGAAAAATTGTTACGCAAAGAATAAATCTTAATATGGTTTTACCTTTAACCGACTGTCATTGCCTTTAACCCAAGGCGTGCTTGTTTTTTTTATTTTCCCCCGGTATGCTTATTTTTTAGTTCTCAAACATTGTCAAATCCAATAATTACTGAATAAATAATTACTTAGCTTGGTGTTCCTAATATCATACTTGAATATTATTAATAAATTGATTGCTGTTCTAAATAAAATAACGCTAATTAGAGACTTTTATAATGGGAGTGTACCAAAAATGTACCCAATTTCTAGATATTTTCCTTTTTTTAAATATATTTGAGATATAATCTCTTGAGATATATCTCATAAATGAGATATGGAGATGCGGTTTTCACAGGCTTGTTTGGCAATTATTTGACTATATTTCTCCAAAGAAAAAGTTATATCGTTGCATTTAAATTTTTTGAGAAAATCGGTGTTTTTTAAAGTCATGTCGAAAAACGCCCTCTTGCGGCCAAGCAAATATTTGCAATAATATGTTATATAGCGTAAATTATAGACCGAAGAAAGCCCTTTTCAACGATTTCATTTTTATGAAAATCCGTTTAGCCGTTTAAAAGTTATTAACATTTATTTGTCGCAATTATCAAACAACCCCCACCACTTTATTTTACAAGATAGAGTCAAACATATAAAACAAAAAAGAATTGCAATTATCCCAAATATCAAAATAAAATAAATTTCTGATACCTTTATTAAGGAAAATTATGAAAAAAATGACTTTTCAAAATCAAGATGGCGGATATTTTCCCTAGCGGCCATTTTAGACTTAAAAAGTATTTTCAGCATTTTCTTTTTGCCAATTTAGTCATAAGATTTTTTACCGCAAGTTTCTATGACAATATGACCTCTTCTGGTGGGACACCCGGTACACAAGAAAGAGTTGAATTAGTAAAGCTGTCAAAATAAGGAATGTGCCAGTGTTGATGCTAGACTGTTTAACCAAAATCGTGTGGAATACCAAGTAAGTTGTCAGTATGTTGCACATTTCATTAAAAAATTTAAAGAAACTGGCTCTGTTTTAAACAAAAAACATGATGATTGAGTGTCCTATTAGAAATGACGCAGTTGAAGTAGCTTTTCTTGGCCATCTTCTAATGGATAAAAGACAATCATTGAGCAAAATCGCTCATGTATTTGGTGTATCAAAAAGTAGCGTTCAGCGGATAATCAATAAACATAAATTTTATCCGTACAATTAAGATGATAATGGTTCAAGAATTGAACGAAGATGATCCGTATCGACGTTTACACAGTTTGCCGAAAATTTCACTCAGCGGTTGAATGATGACGCAGGTTTACTTTATAAAATTTGTTTCTACGATGAAAGTACGTTTATGTTAAATGGTGAAGTCAACAGGCATAATTGTCGTTATTGGAGTGATTTCAACCCTCACATTATCAGAGAAGGTCATACACAAACACCTCAAAAATTGAATGTTTGAGCTGGCATTCCGGGCGACCACATTATCGGGCCGCTTTTTATTGATGGAAATTTGAGTAGTGACATTTACTTGGACTTGTTAGAAGACCTTATTGATCCCTTTTTAACCCAAGCACTGGAAGATGATGAAAATCTCCATGAAAACCAGCTATTTTTTCAACAGGATGGAGCGCATCCATACTATGATATACAAATTCGCAACTTTTTAGATGCTCATTTTCCCGGACAATGGATAGACCGTAGAGGACCTATCGAATGGCCAGCTAGATCGCCTGATTTAACTCCTATGCATTTTTTTTGTGGGGCTACTTAAAGTCCAATGTTTATGCTACGCCACCTGAATCTCTTCAAGACCTTCGACAAAGAATCGTAACAGAATGCCGTTTAATTACACCAGAAATATTGTGAAAAGTTAGAGAAGCATTTGAGAACAGGCTATATCATTGCATGGAAGTTGGAGTGGCCACATTGAACAGTACCTTCATTAAAATGAAATTGTTTTTTTTGATCTATTTGATGTTTAAAATTAAAAAAAAATACGGGGTTGAATAGATAATGAAAACAGCTTCAAAATTATACGTTACTTGACATCCTTTTCCATTTAAGATTTTTCAAGGGGTGGTTCTGGGCGCTAGAGGGATGAAAAAAAAATTGAAACTACGATTAAAGTTCAGCCCCCGGAAAGTTAAAATTGACCTGTTTTGGCATTTTTTTAAAATTTGAGCAAAACTTGAAATATTGGGGGGTGCAAATTTTAGTTGGGACACCCTGTATGTATATACAGATAGTTTTAACTCGTCGTGGGACACCAGGTATTTTCAAGATTAGATTGTAGATTAATTTTATCGCAAAGAAGAAAAACAATGTCGCTTTATTCAAAATATTGAGGCAAATTTTTAATATTTTTAATATTACATAGATATATTGTAGATTAATTGCGACGCCGGATGTTCTCACGTTTATCAAAGAATTTCCGCTATAGCTCATGGAAATGTTTATTACTCGCAGTCAACTGGTAGCTGATGCAACGTAAAAAATGAAGTAAATACTTTTTTTTTTCAAAAGACGCTGTGAAACGTAAAAATTGTTCAATCAAATTTTAAAAAATCTGTAGACTATTTTTTTATCATCATTCTACACATATCTACATATTTTTTTTAGTGACCAATTGCTCAACTGGTGTTCAATGTCCAACTGATGTTCAATCAGAAAATCATCCGATATTCAACTGATTGTCAACTGATAGGCAACGTAAAATGTATGTATACATTTTTATATACAGGGTGAAAATCAAACACATTACAACTATAATATGAGACCAAATGTTTCATTGATAAATCCCATATAATTACGGACTGTTATTGTCTTAAAATTGTTAATGAATTGGAGAGAGAAAGGCAAATCTCTTAGAACCGGCTGGCAACGTTGTAACCAAAGTATCTTAATGTTCGCCAGTGGCGTAAAGTTTTGAACTTAACAATATTCTAACGAAGTAAATAATTTTCATATTTTTAAGGTCCCCTTTAACGTTAATTTTTCTTCAAGTTTTTACATTTAAGTAGCTATTATAAGTTATTCAATAATTATTTAACGATACAAGAATAATTTAACTATTTTTAATAGAATATCGTGTGTCCCACTTCACTGATTCAAATGAAAACAAATACAACTTAACCTAACTTATTATTGTTTATATTTTTGACAGAAGTTATTAAAAAAAACTTAAATCAATTAAAACTTAAAAGAATAAATCAAAAAATTCATACAAACACAAAATAGCTGTTAGACCTTACTGGCAACGTTGCGATGACGTCTGTCATTTTTTAAATAGGTTTATAAATTCGTAATTTATGTCGCAACGTTGCCCTATTTACGTAAATGTTTACAATCTTAATATTCCTTTAAATGAATATTGATTTTTTTAAAATTTCTACCCTCATGTACTTAAAATTTTAAAGAATAATTTTATTAAAAACTTACAGCCTTATTCATAGTCGTATTTAGTGGCTACTAAGATCATATTTGTGATAATAGTTACTAAAATTTTTAGTGGCGTTACAAAGGGATTTTTTAAACTATTTATTGCATTTTGAGTGGAAAAAGTCATTACTTGGTCAAAGTGTTTAGCTAACTGTTATAATGTTTGTTAAATAGCCGGTTTTGAAATATAAACAATTTGGTCTCTTAGTTGTAATGTCTTTTGTGAAAATGCAATTATCTATTACATTTTAAATAATTGTCTTGTGAAAAAATCATTTTGTTTTAAATGTAAAATTTAAGGTAATGTAATTTATTATTTAAGGTTTCTATATCAACAATTCCTTCTCAGTAAAAGGATAGGTTATAGAAATTGGGTGTAAAAGACAATATGCACTTTTTTACCTGAAAAACTATTCGACGTTAGGTATATCAAAAGGATCAGAAGATGGCAAAATATTTGTAGAAGCACCTGAATGGCATCCCCTACATCTCAGGTTATATAGAATACAGCTTATTGGACCAAATTTTGTTACAAAATTTGTACAATAAAGCGGATTATATTTATATTAAATGGAATAAAAAGATGATTTTTTGTTCAAGAAATCATACGATTTTCAGATTTTCCTAAATATCATAGATTTAATCCGAACGTACCGAGATTTAAACCGAGAATTTATATGAGACATTCGAAATGTTGAAAATCTGAGAAAATGGTTTGAAAATGGTATTTTGCCAAAACTAATTTACTCTCGATAAAAAAGTAAGTTTTTCAAATTTATTTCAAAATTAATTCTTTGTAATAAGACTTTTTTTTACAGATCAACAAAATTATGGGATCCGTTACGGTCCTGCCTTTTTTCAAATTCGGCCGTCTTGCCAGACGAACCCCCCGACGATCTGCCTGAGAGAGAAGCTGAAGCGTCATCACTTCTCGATAGCTTTTCACGTATTTATAATTATTATCTATACTTTTATATTTATATTTTTTGCCGAATAAACGAATCAACCACTACATCAACTACTCTGTAACTCTAAAAACATTTGTCCTTCGAGCCGGATATCCAGCAAAAGTAAAAATCCAACACGAATCTAGCTGATGATTCAAGAAAATTAAAGCAGATCGGGTCGCCGGCAAATGGTAGTCAATCCGCCATTGCTGGTAAGTAGTGGGCGTTTAATTTTCATCATTTATTCATATTTATCTTATCTATGTACCTTCTTATCAAGCTTATTTTCTTAACAATTAAAATCGGTATTTATAACATGGCAATGTGGCGAAATCGGAGAGTATGTGTCTAAAAACGCTTAAAAAACAACGTTCAAGTCTAAGGAAAAAGCTAACTGTTTAAAATTATTATTAAGACTGCAGAAGACAAAATCGAATCATTATAAATTATAAGGTAAATGAATGAATTTATTACAACAAATTTTTGTACACATGTTTCTTAGGGTTAAGTAAGTAATCGATCAAAAATTGAGAAAAATACATCGTTTGGAATAAAGTAAAAAATTAATAGATTATTGAATCTCCCGATCTTTCACCTATCTATATTTATAGAATACAGAATACCTATACATGTATAGATAATATAATAGAATTAAATAGAAACGTAAAACAAATAAAACATTGTTACTTCGAAATACGAAGAGTCAAATTCCTCAGCTCCCAGAGCCTACAGCTTCTAATTCTTGTAGAGCTAACTAAAACAGAAAAAATGTGAACAGCATCGAATTCAGGAAAATAACAAAAACAGGGAGAATAACTTAGTTGCATCAATTTCCCGACAAAATTTTTAAATTATCATTGGTACGATGACTCCAACAAGTTGACTAAAGACATCTGACTTATGATTTTTGCAAGAAAACCATTCAAAATCAGCAAGTTTATGAATACAGGGTTTTGCACGGTGCATAAAAACTTTTTGGAGTTCCCAAAGAGTTAGGAATCTGAAAATTTAGAAGTAAGGTATAATCAATGTTGCTAGTTTTTCTAAAATATTTTCAACCATATGTGACTTCCGGTTATACCGTTATTTGGAAAGTACCATTTTTGGATTCTGTGGCCCTTTTTAACTAGACTTTGATAATAACACCATATGCCAAAAATGCACCATTTTTAAGTTATTTGGTTTTTTTTCGAAATTTTTCGCATTATCGATACCAAATTTCAAACTTCTGGGTGCGTTATTAACAAAGATATCCTAGAAAATACGTTTGACCATTTTTCCAAAAAAGTTCCTAAATTTTCAAATTCGTAACTCTTCAGGAATTCCGAAAAATTCTAATGCCCGGCTACCGTGGAAAACCCTGTATATACATTACAAATTTTTTTACGATATCGTAAATTTTTGCTACAAAAATTACTAAATTTCTATTATAGTAGAAATATTTGAATCTACATCACCTAATTTTCTTTTTTTAGCAAGCCTAGGTGATGTTTCGGGTGCTAAAGGAAATGAAAATTTATTCAGGCGATTTTTAAAGCTACTATTAAAACTTGTATCAAAAATATGATCTTCACAGAGTGTCATTTTTTTTTGGACGAATGGGACAAAAACCTATAATATCAAACCATTTTTTTCTTTCGCTCAATATCTGCAGGGAATTAAAAAAAATGCTTTTGAAGAGTATTTTATCTTCATTATCTTGTAATATCTTACAAGTGCTAAAATTAATATCAATTATACACAAACAATGTACATGGCCAACTTGTAAAAACGGATTATTTAAGAAAAAGGCAGAAAAGTAAGTATTAAGTAAAATTTTTAATATCATCAAACCTATTAGGTTAAGTTACAGGAAAGTAAACATTAACTTCCCCTAATTTTTTACCGCTGATTTTAATGAAATAGAAAAAAATGGGTGATTCCATTTAAAAAAATGAAGAAATTTGATATTTTTGAAGTTCAACTTTTCACATTTTTTATGCACACCCTGTATACGAATAGGAGGTTTTCAACACAAGTTCAAATACCTTTGATCTTTCTATTAGCCAACCTACAAAAACCGTTTTCATATCTTTAAAAAAATCCCCGTAAGAAAATAATTTACAAGGATCCACATCGGTCAAATTTAAAAAAAAATTAATAACTCAAAAAGTATGCATTTTTAAAAAAAGTGTTTTAGACAAAAGTATCCTAAATTTTACGTAGATTTCGAAAATATATTAATATACAGGGTGTTCCATTTGAAATAACAAAGTTGTCGACTAAAGTTTGTAGACAAATTTTCAAATTTTAATTACCACTACTTTTCCAGATACTTCTAATGGGCCATCGTCGTGACACACACTGTATACAGGGTGTGTTTATAAATTCTTTCGAACAATCTCGAGAGCCGTTTCAAAACCGCTCCAAAAACGCTCAAAACCGCTTCAAACCCCTTCCGAAAACCATTCTACACTGCCCCAAAAACGTCTCTAAAATCGATCTAAATCAACTCTAATTACGCTTTAAGAACCGCTTCAAAACTTGTTTAAAACGTTCTGCAACCGCCACAAAGAACTGTTCAAAAACTGTTCCAAAATTACTCCAAAAAAACTTAAATGATGCTTTAGAAACAATTCCAAAAACTGTTTCTTGACCTTTCCAAAATCGCTCTAAAATAGCCTTAAAACCCACTTAAAAACCTCTCTAAAACCACCCCTAAATTGCTCTAAAACAACTCTAACTCCAAGTTTAAATCGCCCCAAAAACCGCTGTAAAACTACTCCCAAAAATCTCCCTAAAATCGCTCTAAAACCGCTCCAAATCCCTTCGAAATGCTACCCAATATTACCCTATCCTTTACCCTACAAATTACCCTACCCTACGATTTACCTTACAATTTATAAACACCTTTGGAATTTACCTTGTACCTTATTTTTTTTTTTTTTTTTTTTTTTGACAGTTGAAATGCTTTATGCATCATGCTTTATCACCCTTCACTGGTTGGGACTACCGTTGCTGGTTTACGTCAACCAAGTGAATCTGTTCGATACGCACTTTATGTTCGTTTGCGGTCCTTATCTTCCATTTCTTTTATTATTTTGTTTATTCCTTTTTCTATTGTATCCCAGTTCCTTTCGTTTTCCATCATCACTCCTATCACGTTTTCCGGTCTTAATCGATGTCCAACTTGCTCCTCTATCCTTTCTACCTCCTCCCGGTATTGACTGCACTGGAATACCGCGTGCTCCGGTGTTTCGTTGACGTGTACTTCCACCCTCTCCCTCACCATTTCGTCAATGGGAAGGGTACCCACGATAACTTGTAGGGCCTCCGATGATACCGTCCTGTATGCACAGCCGATACGTAGCAGGAGTTTCCTTTGGGCACCAATAAGCTGTATCCTGTATTTTTCCACCTCGATTGCTTCCCTCCATACTGGTGCGCCATACAGCCTAATCGAGTATACTACGCCTCCCAAGATTTCCCTTTTGCGGCTAGTCATTCCACCTACGTTGGGCATTATGCCCTGCAATTTCATCATCTTCTCTGTCGCTCTTGCTACGGTTTCCTTAATATGTACGCAGAATGAGCCCCGGTGGTCTAGGTATATTCCCAGATATTTGATTGCTGTTTTGGGCACCACCTTGTGGTCTTCTATCGTGAATTGCACCTTTTCTCGAGCTTTCTTTTGTTTTGCGCCCCTGACGAGAATTGCTTCGGTCTTCTGCCCAGCTAGGCAGAGTTTATTGTCTTCCATCCAGTCCGTGACTGAATTGATGGCTCGGTTCCCTTTGTCCATTAGGTCGAATTTATTTTTCCTATTATTTATTTTTATTTAGAGGGTTGGTCCAAGGACCGAACCCTGTGGAACTCCGACGTTTACTTCGATAGCAGCTGATTTGTCAACTTTTATTTTCCTGTAGGAAAAGTAACTTTCTATCACCCTTACCAAGTAGTCTGACACTTTCCGTTTTCGTAAGTTTCTTATTATCAAGCTCCACGTTGCCGAATTGAATGCATTTTTGATGTCGAGTGTTATGAGAGCGATCCACTTACTAGTCGATTGGCGAACGTATTCCTGGACGTACTGAACCGCCTGTATTGTCGATTTCCCCTTCCTGAAGCCGAACAGCCGTTTTGAAAGATCTTCTCGGATTTCCTTTTCAAGCCGACTTTTTATGAGGGTTTCATAGACCTTTCCTAGTACATTCAGAAGACAGATGGGCCTGTATGAGCTGCTCAGTTCTGGATTCTTTCCCGGTTTTGGTAGAAGAATCAACTTCGATGCCTTCCATTCCCGAGGAAATTCTTGTTTTTCTCCTGTTCTGAACCTACCCTTCCCAACTTACACAACCCTTCTTTTTCTCTTTTTTTTATCAGTTTTTTATTGTAGGGCCTAGAGAAGGATAATGTATTTAAAGAAAATGTAATTAATAATTACAATTATTCAAATTTTTTTGCAATTGTAATTGCAGTCAGGTACAATTTTAAAACGACCGTGACCTCTCTCAAACTGATGTAAATACGCTTCAAAACTGCCCTAAAATCTTTTAAAAAACGGTTTTAAAACGCCTCAAAAACCGCTATAAAACCGTTCCAAAAACCCATCATTGAACTGCTCCCTAAACTCTCCAAAACCGCTCTAAATACGTTTAAAAACTGCTCTAAACACTACCCCAACAACCGCTCAAGAAACCCTCCCAAAATCGTTTCAAAACCGGTCCAAAAACTCTTTAAAACCGCCTCAAAAACTGTTCTAAAACAACCCCCGATATATTACTATATAACCGTCCCAAAAAAACGATATAAAATCGCTCTTAAACAACTCTAATTGGGTACCCTTCAACAACCGCTTCAAAATTGCTTTAAAACCGCCTCAAAAACCACCGTAAAAGTGCTCTCTTACCTCTCCAAAATCGCTCTAAATACACTTTAAACCAGCCTCAAATACTACCCTTAAAACCGCTCTAATACCGCTCGTGAACTTCTTCCAAAA